AACTGACTTTGCAGCCTGTCATAGTTTATTTTCTGTTGCTATAACAGAATGGCATAGACTGGGAAACTTAACAAGAACAGAAGTTTGGAGCTGGAAATGTGGTCAGTGGTAGATGAGCACTTGCCTACTATTGCCCATGAGACCTTAAGTTCAATTCTCAGCACCACAAAACTAAACCAAACAAAATAGAGGTTTATTTTGGCTTTCAAATCTGGAGGTTCAGAAATGCAAGAGCCTAGCACTGATGTCTGCTCAGCTTCCAGTGAAGGTGAGGGCTACATCACAATCTGGCAGACCCAGAAACATCAAGAGAGCATGAAGTGGGAAAGGGCAAAGGATGGACTTGCTTTGTCATTCATCATCTTCTCTCAGGAAAGGCTCAGATCTCTGCTGGTGACCGAATCATCTTAAGGCCCTATCACCTTGAAACACTATCATCCGAGGGAGGAGATTTCAACATGAGTTATTAAGCAGGAAACCAAATCCTAACAGGATAATTTATCTCCATTCTTAAATTTATTCTTTTTCCTCATTGTCCCTTAGTTCTAACCCTTAAAATATGTCTTCATATGTGTATGTATGTATATGTATATATATATGTGTGTGTGTATATATGTGTATGTGTATATATATATGTCTGGTGTATATGTGTATATATGTGTGTGTATGCATATATGTCTCTGTATATGTATATGTATATATGTATGTGTGTATGTATATTTGTCTGTGTATATGTGTGTGTGTGTGTGTGTGTATGTGTGTGTGTATTGGTTTTTTGAGACAGGGTATCTCTGTGTAGGTTTGTAGCCTGTCCTGAAACTCACTCTGTAGACCAGGCTGGCCTCAAACTCACAGAGATCCACCTGCTTCTGCCTCCCAAGTACTAGGATTAAAGATGTGTGCCACCACCACCCAGCCAAACCATATTTTTAAATCAAATAAATAGTTACTGATAGAAAGGAAGAGCAGGGCTTGTCATGTGATCCAGCTGGTAGGGGCATTTGCCACTAAGCCTGATGACCTAGTTCAATCCTCAGAATCCACATGGTTGAAGGAGAGACTTGACTTCAGCAAGTTGTCCTTTGACGTCTCTCTCCCTCACCTCAACCAAATGAATAAACAAAATGTAATTTTTTTTAAGATTTCTTTTTTTGAAAAAAGAGAGAAATGCTATCAACTATTAGAATTTCCATGAAAACCAAAGTGCACAAATGAAATGTAGTTTTGTCTATAACAGTAAACAGATATATGGCGTAGTAAAATGTCATATTGCCCCATCTTCATCCCGGCTGGGCACAGTGGTGCACTTGGGAGGCGGAGGCCAGAGGAGCTCAAGTTGGAGGCCATCATGACCTGTGTGGTAAGATCTGTGTCAGAAGCTAAAGCCACCATCGAATAGAGAAGAACTCTCTGTGTGTGAATTCTCACCCAGCACATCAGCTCTCCCTCTTGACAGACAGTCCTTCAAGGTGTAACACCCCTCTGCTTTAGCTTTTCCTTTCTTGGCCCTCCCTCCAATCTGTTTTTTTTTCTTTGTTTTGTTTTGATGAGGGCTGATTACTGCACTTTATATTACAGAAGTATGAATATACCCATGATTAAAGACCAGGAAAAACAACGAAATCATCCTAGTCATGAACTTCAGTTTGCTTGTAGATTTCTAGAGACCCATAGCTAATTATAAAGTTGGTAGAACGTGCCTTATCAGGTTTTGCTCTTTAACCCCCTTTATTCTAATTCTAAGGTTTTAAATTAGTTGGGTTTTTTTTTTTCAACACTATGCAGTGTCATGTTCCCTTAGACGCTTCTGGCAAACAACTTTATCTTATTCTCGCCTTATTTGTCTCACTCCAATGCATGAACTTGGAACACTTTTTTGTTCTTCAGCTTTCCTTCCCTGTGAGGGAGATAAAACATAATCCCCCCCTTAATCCTCTTAAGTCTGTAGTTGAGTCAGAGTTCTGACACAGGAGAGTCATAAGAGAAGGAAGTTTATCAGCACGTGACACACATACCACAGGGGAGAACGCATAGGTGACCAGGGCAGGAGCCTGACTTATTTAATTACCGAACTGGGGTAATTAAAATTTCATTACAGTATTTGCCTTAGGCTCTCTTCTGTTGCTGTGAAGAGACAACTATGGCCAAAGCAACTCTTCTAAAAGAAAGCATATAATTGGAGATTTGCTTACAGTTTCAGAGATTTAGCCCCTGATCATCATGGCTGGGAGCGTGGCAGTAGGCATGGCAGGCATAGAGCTGGAGAAGTAGCTGAGAGCTACATCCTGATCCTCAGGCAGAAAGACGCTGGGCTTGGCATGGGCTTTTGAAACCTCAAAGTCCACCCCCCAGTGACACACTTCCTCCACCAAGGCCACACCTCCTACCACTCCTAATCCTTTCAAGCAGTGCCACTCTCTGGTGACTAAGCTTCAAATATTTGAGCCATTCTTACTCAAACCACCATATTATTTATTTGGCTAGTGTGGGGGGGGGTGGACAGGTACATGTGTCAAAACTCAAATGAGATCCGAGGACAAATTGCAGGGCCTTGGTTCTCTTCTTCTACTCTATGGGTCTCTAGGATTGAACTCCGGTCATCAGACTTCCAGAAAATGCCTTTACCCACTGCGCCATATTGCCAGCCCTTTGAGAATAATAAATATCAAAGCAATGACAAGACAAAGAAAAGCAGCTGCAGGCTTCCAGAAGACGTGTAGGGGAAAGGCTGGCTGAGCAAAGTCTGCAGAGTCTCAGTTTCTGAGCTGATGAGGACTGGGGAAGAGAATGTACCTCCTCTCTCTGGGTAGGAACTGGTGGGGGAAGATGAAAAGGGTCTCTGTTTTTGTGTGTCTATGGTCTATGTTCTGTTTCTAGGAGAGTAGAGAGGGAGGCAGATAGCTCTCCCGGGTCCTGTCTTCAGCTGAATAGTTCATCATTTTTGGAGCAGGTGTGTTCTGGTTTCCTTCCCGCGTAAAACTAGATGAGCAGAACATGAAGCCCCTGAAAGGCCTTGGGGGTGTGTAAGACACCATGGTCCTAATTATACATACCACAATTCGTATCCCAACATGTTTCTTAATAGTTTTGTGGAAAGCTTTTTACCCTTTCTCCACAGTACACTAGAATTGGAAATTTCTGAATGATGACTACAGACTGTGCCAACCCGTGAACGCTTTACCTTCCCATAGAAATAGGAAAAGCAAGGAGAATGTGTGGCAGTTTTATTTGTTGTTTGTTTTGAGACAGGGTTTTTCGGTGTAGCTGTGACCGTCTTGGAACTAGCTCTGTAGACCAGGCTAGCCTCCGACTCAGAGATCCCCCTGCTTCTGCTTCCAGAATGCTGGGATTAAAGGTATTTACCACCACTTCCAGCTGTGTGATAGAGGTTTAAAAAAAATGGTTTATGAGCTCAATTGCAGAATCACAATTCTGGATGAACTCAAGATCTTTGAGTTGTTCAGGGAGTCAGGAGGACTTCTTTTAATGGTAGATAGCTGTTATTTTTAATTTCATACACTGATTTATAAAAGCTGTTCCTCCAATAGATGAGCAAAGAGAGGGACTGGAGCTAGCTGAATAGGTGTTGAAATACCTCCAGGCTGAAATCCCCACAAAACTGGATTATATGATACACATGTTCACATTGTTAAGTTCTGGGGATCCAGATGAGTACAGCTGAGTACGAGACACAACTGACTGGTTGCCTTAGACAACAGAAATATGTGCTCCCACAGTTTTGATTGGGAAATGTCTGAGACGTGGATGCCAGCAAGGTGGGGTCGGGGAAAAGGTTCTCTCCCTGTCGTGCACCATAGCCACCTTCTCACTGTGTCTAATGGGGCAGCGAGAGGAGGGCCCTTCCTGAGGCCTGCTGTCAAAAGGGCACTTGTGCTGTTACGATGGCATCCTTATGACCCCAGTAAACCTCGTGATCCTTCAAAACCATATCTCCATATGCTGTCCCTTTAGGGGTTGGGCTTTACTATGTGAAATTGTACATATATCCACACACGTTTAGTTCATAGCATGTACAGTTACAGTGAGGACTCAGGAAAAGTTAAATCTTCACTTGATTAAATTATTCCTAAGTTTCGGGAACAATGACAAAATGAGGCAAGTGGCATTACTGCTAACTCAAGCTTTAAAGTCTCATACTCCAGGGCTTAGCCCTGGAAGCTGAGGTAGGGGTGCAGGGGACATTCCTTCACATGGGGGGAGGCTAACTGGAAAGAGGTGTAGCAAGCCTGGTGGGAAATAGAAACCTATGGTTTTTTAAAACTCAAAGCAAGACTATTCTTTGGCATCCAACAATGATATGAAATTCCACTTGCGGTGTCCCTTTCATGAAGTGTGGATCACAACCACACTTGTTCATGTACAAGTTGTCATTGTTGCTCCCAGGATGCAGCAGCAGGGTCAACTGGCTGCAACAGAGCCAGAAGTATACACCATCTGGCCTTCTACTGGGGAAGCTTGTCAAGCCGGGATCTGCTAACAAAGCCATAGGCTGAAAATACCATCTTGGAAAGATATAGAGCTGTCTCCTAGAATAGAGCCCTCACCCCTGAGCTAGGGGAAGGCCTGGAGATCATCTGTATCAAATTGTCAATCCCTGATTGTTCCAACAAAGAACTAACAGGGAAAGACAAGTGGGTTTCTTGTAGGAAGGAAGAACGAGCTAGTGTTCAGTTGATGTTTCCAGTTTGATCTCTTTGAAAGTCTAGTCAATATACAATTAGACCGGGTCCGGAAGTTGGGCCAGTCTAGTGCCAGGTTTATCTGCTGTTAAGTCTTCACTTGACTGACACTTACCCTCGGGTGAAAGTAGAAGGGAAGGATGAGGGATAATAGTGGTACCAATTGTAGAATCTGACATTGGTTAGTAAGTATCAGTAGCATTTTTTTTCCTCTTGGGTCATTTCCATTGTTTCTGACCTATTTTTTTTTTTTTTTTTTTTTTTGGTCCCCTTTGCTTCCCTGCCCTCTTGTACACACAGGTGATCTTAAAGGATGTGGACTCGCTTCTCTACGTGGACACAGATGTCCTCTTTCTGAGGCCCGTGGATGATATCTGGAAGCTTCTGAGACAGTTCAACTCCACCCAGCTTGCCGCCATGGCCCCAGAGCATGAAATCCCCAAGATTGGCTGGTACAGCCGCTTTGCCCGCCATCCTTTCTACGGCTCTACAGGGGTTAATTCAGGGGTCATGCTCATGAACTTAACTCGCATCAGAAGTATGCAGTTCAAGGTAAGGAGGAACTGGAAAATCCCACCTAAAGACGTGGAGTTAGAAGTCAGGTAGTGGTGGCTCCCGCTTTTAATCCCAGCACTGTGAGTTCAAGGACAACCTGGTCTACAGGGTGAGTTCCAGGACAGCAAGGCTACACAGAGAAACCCTTGAGAAAGGAACCAAATAAACAAACAGAAGACCTGGAATTTCCAGTTGGGACATGCTGGGTGTGTGTCGGTGCTGATCTGGCTTGTGGGTGGGAGGGAAGTATTGGAAATGTGGAATTTTGCTCAGGAAAAGCCCAGGCAACTGTGCACTGTGAAGCTTCATAGCCTCCATTCAGAAATACTATATGATGTTTCTGAATTACAGAGAGGGCTCAGAGGGTCAAACGAGTGTGATGCAAACCTGATGACTGGAGCTGAGCTCCCTAAAACCCATGCAAAGCCGACACAGAAGCACAGTTGCCTGCAGTCCGGAACGCTAAAGGTCCAGACAGGAGCAATGCTGGAAGTTATGGGTCAGCTAGCCTGGCCTGAGCAGCAAAGAGACCCTGCTCAAACAAGGTGGAAAAGGCAGGACTAGAGACCAGAAAGCTGCCATCTCCTCCCCATACGTGTGCTGTGACCCACGTGTGCCTATGGCCGCACACACAACCGGGCATTTCCATACACCTCCGGAAAGACAAGGCTGACCAAATAGCCGAGCAGGTAAAGGGGATTCCACCTGGCAATGCAAGCATGGTGGCTTGAGTTTCATCTCCAGAACCTATATAAAGGTAGAAAGGGAGTTGTCCCCTGACCTCTACATGTACCCCACGACACATGTTTGCACGTACATAATAAACACACACACACACATATATACATTCAAATAATAAATACTAGAAAAAAAGAAAGAAAAAGAAAAAGAAAGAAAAAAAAAGAAAACCAAAGGGCCCTCTCTACTTCCTGATCCACTCTGCATCCATAGGTACCCACCCCTACAAGCATCTACCCACAGCCCTCGCTTTGCTTGCTTCTGCGCCCAGGGTAGCAGGACCACACCTGTGTGTCCTGTGTGTTGCGTCTTGGAGGACAGGAAAGCATTTTCACTGGACAAGGCACGCTCGCTTTCTTGCAGCTGCTCTCACGGTTTCCTCTCTTCCAGAACAGCCTGATTCCAACAGGCCTGGCTTGGGAGGACATGCTGCTCCCGCTGTACCAGAAGTACAAGAATGCCATCACGTGGGGAGACCAGGATTTATTAAATATTATTTTTTATTTCAACCCAGGTAAGCGCTCTTTGGAGAATGCCACTGTGCCCACCTCATTTCATAGGGAACATTCTAGACACAGGCTGCTATTGATGGACCTGCATGGTGCACAGAGAGGCTTGTGTTCCTCTGGCCCACCCTTACATCTGCCTCCCGGGTATCTGCGGAGGCAGGTCCTCAGCCACTAACACAAAAGGCCAAATGTTGAAGCCTCCAACGCTGCACTCTGGTTTTAGAGTCCTTTCAGTCCCGCCACACCATCCTTCCAAGAAGTGCCGGGTAAAGTGACACAAGACGCAGAACCAGATGACCAGATAACAGTATTTCCATGTGAGCACCAGACCCTCACCATGGAGCAACTACTAGTGGAAGGGAGGTGGCTTCTGAGTTTAAAATTCAGTCACCTGTCCAGAGTGCAGAGGGCCTAGATTAAGATCTCAGATCCCCCAGGGTTTGGTTTTGTTATCTAGAGCAAAGAAAATGTTATAGGTTGTTAGCTTGGTGACTTGTCAGAGAGTACCGAGTGGGGCAGGGTGTCCTGGTTGGCTTTTTTGTCAGCTTGACACAAGTAAGAATTCTTTGGGAAAAGGAACTTCAGGTAAGGAAATGACTCTCTCAGATTGGCCTCTAGGCAACTCTATGTGTAGGCAACTCTATGTGTAGACAACTCTATGTGTAGGCAACTCTATGCAGCATCTTCTTGATTAATTAATGACTGATGTAGGAAGCGTAAGATAAAATGTTTCCTCCCCAAGTTGCTTTTTTTTTTCTGTGTAGTGTTGACTATCCTAGAACTTGCTCTGTAGACCAGGCTGGTCTTGAACTCACAGAGATTCTCCTGCTGGGACTAAAGTCTTGTTCCACCACCACCCCTACCCCCAAGTTGCCTTTGATCATGGTCTTTATCATAGCGTATAGAATCATAACTAGTACAGAGAGAGATGAAATTTCCTGGTCTGTGTTTTCATATTAATCCCTAAAGCCAATAAAATGTCCTTCTTCCCTCCCCTCCCCTTTGCTAAAAGGTTATTTAATTTCATTAAAGTGAAAACAATGGTTTCCTTTGAGAGGAATCTTTAGGGAAAATAAAGTAGTCCTTGTCTTATCAGTCCTTCCCTTCCTGAAGTAGAGAGCCGTGTTGATAGTGATGTGATCTGTGGTGCTTGTCACCCTTCAAGCATTTGTAATGGACCACAAAAAAGAAAAGCATCTGCTACGAAACCTGATGCTGTAGGTCTCTGGATTAAAAAGAACCAAATCCTAGGAAAGAAAGCAAGCGAGTCAGCATGGGTTTGTAGGGAGAGACTTCCAGTGCTAGCTAGATGAGCAAAGCCCGTCTTGGCTCTTTACATGCAACTTCTAATCCATTTCTCTCCCCCAGTATGTGGTCTGCCCCTCATTTTTCTTCTTAAGCGGAGAATGTCTTTTCTGTAGATGAAGGAGTGTCAGTTTGGATTCTGGGGCCCTGCAGATAGCATCAGAACAAAGGTTGCTTGTTAAATCAGCAGATGGTGTCTCATAGAAGCAAGGAGTGGGAATGCTGGCAGGCTCAGCCCAGTCACTGCAACAGGAGGGGACCTGGTGGGGAATGGAGGTGACATACACCCACCCTCTCCCACTGATGTTGTGGAACCCAGTGGGGAAGGCAGGTGACATGAACCTCTTCCCACTGATGCTGTGGGACCCAGGGGAGAAGGCAGGTGACATGGACCCCTTCCCACTGATGCTGTGGGACCCAGTGAGGAATGCAGGTGACATGTACCCTCCCTCTCCCACTGATGCTGTGGGACCCAGTGAGGAATGCAGGTGACATGGACCCCCTCCCACTGATGCTGCGGGACCCAGTGGGGAATGCAGGTGACATGTCCCCCTCCCGCTGATGCTGTGGGACCCAGTGGGGAATACAGGTGACATGGACCCCCTCCCACTGATGCTATTTATTCCTCTTTGAAGATTGTCACTTTGCTCCCTAGGCATCAAAGCAAAATACTCATATCTGTTATGGGTCCAGCCACCCACAAAGGCCAACTTCATGTCAGTTCCACCCTCCCAGGGAAAAAGTCACATGGTTCTGCAGGGATCAGCAAGGCCAGCAGCATAGACTGTGGGAATGATGGCTGGTGTGTGCCTTGCCTTTCCTTGGGGCTAAACCCAGTTGGGTTTGATGACCTGGGTGCCTCCTTCTGAGGTCCACTGAGCCAAAGATACTATGACATAATTATGTTCTACATCCTGGTTCTGAGCAGAGCCTACTAAGCAATCAAGAGCTCAGGTTTCGGGTCAGCGGTAGGTCATTTGCTGGCCTTTGTGTGGCCATTTGGCCCCATTTTACACTTACCTTGGCACTGTATTAAACATTAGCTCTCTCTAATGAACCTCTAAGGACAGCCATCGCGTATACATTTTCCTCTCATTTATTTTGCATGTGAACTCTCCACAACCTAGAGCCAATTGTATGTTTTTAAAGATTTGTCACCTTTAGCATTGTAAAGAGGAGAATGACGGTACTGGCAGCAACCTAGGAGATAAATACGTTTATTGTTGTGGCTTACTGGGTTGCTATGGATGAAGTCACACACATAAAACCTGCCGCACGGGACTGTGGTGTTAGGGTGAGGAGAGTCTCCTGTAGTTAGTAACCTACTTACTGAGATGTATTTAAAAGTCATTAGCTAAAAACTGTTGTTAAACTTCCTGCCATGATTGTAAAATGTGTGTGGGTGTGGAATTGCGTGGCTCAGTTGCAGACTGACTCAGGTGGAGGTGACCGAAGCCCCTGGGGACTGTGCAGGCAGCTGGTCCCACAGGGCATTTCTTGGTATGTGGAAAAAAGCAGCTTCTCCTTGAATGAAAGGCTGACCTCACATTTGTGTGCGTGCACGCACATGTGCGTGTGTTCATGTAGGATGGATACGTGTGTGGGTGCATGCATGTGGAAGCCAGAGGTTGACTTTGGGTGTCTTCCAAAGTTACACTAGATTTAATTTTTTGGGACAGGCTCTTTTGCTGAACCTCAATACTTGCCATTCTGGCAAGATTGGCTGGCCATCAGACTTGAAGGATACTCCCCGGTCTCCATTTCCCCAGCCCTAGAATCACAGGTAGATGCTGCTGCACCTGGCCTTTATATGGGTGCTGGGAATTGAACTCAGATTTCGTGCTTGCAAGACAAGAAGACAAGCACTTTACCAGCTGAGCCATCTCTTCAGCCTGTGGAGCTCATATCTTAACAGGTGAGTTTGAGTCATGGACACATTTTCATAGAAAAAGCAAACCTGACCAAAACCCCAAGGGACTCTTAGGATAAATGAGCTTCCATCCCAGGCATTGGAACTCCACTCAGACCAGCTGTAAAGAGCAGAGATGGCCACTTGGATCAGGTGAAGCCAGGCTTTCTGGGGAATGTCTTTTGGATGCTGCTAAGGACTCCAGTGGTTTCTTCAGTCTTCGGGGTTCTTATGGGCTCTGGCATCTTTTCTTCTTGTGAGATGCCAGCATCTCTGACAGAATTCTCGGTTTGCCCAGCTCAGCCTGATTGTCAGTCAATACAATCATAAGAGACCACAGCAAATAAGGATGCTTTTTTCTTTTCTTTTCTTTTTTTTTTTTTTAAACAGGGTTTCTCTGTAGTTTTGGAGCCTGTCTTGGAACTAGCTCTTGTAGACCAGGCTGGCCTCGAATTCACAGAGATCTGCCTGCCTCTGCCTCCCAAGTGCTGAGATTAAAGGCGTGCGCCACCACTGCCCGCTGCTTTTCTTTTCTTTTTTCTTTTTTTCTTTATGGAGTTTGTTTGTTTGCTTATTTTTTGTTTTTAGAGACAGGGTTTCTCTGTGTAGCCCTGGCTAATCTTGGAACTTGCTCTGTAGACCAGGCCTTGAGCTCAAAGAGATCTGCCTGCTTCTGCCTCCTGAGGGCTGGAATTAAAGGCTTGCACCACCACCACCCAGCTAGAGGATAGTTTTCTAACAGTTCCTAATTCAAGTGGGAGAGAAATAACCCAACTTTGGAGACCAATCTTGATCTGGTGGCACTGGGCCAGAGGAGCAAAGCTTTCCACACACACCACATAGGTCGGCTGTCACTTTGAGCAGTTTTCCAGAAAGTACTGCAAAGAAAGGAAAGCAAGTCAGGTATGCATGACAAGGCAGAGCGTCCCACCAGAACAGAAATATATAGTTCTCTAAGGGGCAGAGAAGAGCCAACCTGTCCCTGGAACGTACATAGCCAGACTAGGTATTGAATGTATGATACTAGGGAGTCAGGATCTCCGGAAGACACAGGTAGTAGGACCCATAGCCACACACACTCTTTGAAGGCCTTATTTTAGGTTCTTACTCTCATCCTTCCCAGGACCTCCCAGGGCCCTGGCCTTGGCTGTTTGGCTACACTGAATGAACAGCACAGCGAAGCACCCAGCCTCAGGAAGTCCTGAGTACTGTGCTGTGAGGGTGGTCAGATCAATTACTTCACATTAGGTGCGCTTCTGGACACTGGTGAACTGGGAAGCGCTTACCAGCTCTGATTTCTGTAAAGCACAAGAGACAAGAATGAATATTGTAGGGTCCATGTGAGACGGGCATGGTTTATGTTTTTGGTTTTGTTGTTGTTTCAGTATAAGGCGCCAGAAGTGTTAGTTGGTTGAATGGGTAGAATCAAAAAAATAGAGTGATGTCAATGGAAGAGAAACAAAATCACAGCAAGGGAACTGAGGGAAAAGGGAATTAGGGACAGAGAGCAGTCTCCAGCAAGAGACAAGACAGAGATACTTACAGTCTAGGAAGGCATAAAGTTCACTCCACTCATTCAGCATGTGGGTGCGCACACACACTCACACACAGAGAGAAAATAACCACCTCCCTACACAGACTGGCTGTCAGTTCATGTTCCTGTCCCCGCCTCCCGAGTGCTGGGATTACCGGTGTGCACCCCCACAACAACCAAACACAATTGTCCTGCTGCAATGGTCTCTGCTCCGTTGGTAGATGGTAGCAATTGAGTGTCAAGCGCATCTTTCTGTGAAGTTAAAATGATTAGGCACAAACCATACTGTAATCTCCAGCACCAACTGGATATGAATCATCAGAGCTACAAGGGAGTCCTGGCACTGTGTGGACTCTTGAAGATATCAGTCATTAAGGGATATCACCCACAGGGAACCAGTTTTTAATATAACTTTGAGAGAGAGAATACCAAAGACCAAGGGCTTCAAGAAAGGGTGTTTTGAAATTTTTTTTAATTTATCTACTTGTTTTTGGACAGGGTCCATTGTGTAGCCTGTCTTCAGCCTCTCAGTGATGCCTGCCTAGCCATTCTGCTCTCTTCCTCCTGCTCATAAAGCGGACAGTTTAAGTTTACAAAGTTAACCTGCAAATAAACAGACACATCTATGTATTTGGAGGGTGGGGGTGAGTGTACAGGAGGAGGTGCACATGTGTGTTATGTGTAGAGGCCAGAGGACAATCATGGGTGTTGTGTCTCAGGCTTGGTTTTGGGGACAGGATCTCATTGGCTTGAAGCTTGCCCCATAGGCTAGTCTGGCTGGTCCATGAAGGGCATGGATCTACTTTCTCTGCTTCAGAATGCAAAGATGCTACCAAGCCTGACTATTTTCACATGCGTTCTGGGGCCCAAATCAGGCCATCATGCTCATACAGCAAGCACTTCGCCAACTAAGCTATCCCCCAGACCAGATCTGGTATCTTCATCTTCCTACTGCTGATTGCCCTTTCTTTTGATAACAGATTCCATTGCTGGATGGAATAGTTCTTTCCCCATCTCATGTGTCCAATAGCCCTGCCCTCCAGTGTTTCCCTGCTAAACCAGTCAGACCATCCATTCCCTGGTTTCTAAATCCTAAAACCTGAGAACAGAATCCATGGCTGGTTCACCCAGCCAGCAGTGCCGAAAAGATGACACCAATTAGTCCCCACCCCAGATCCTGGGAGCTGCTCCACTTCTGGCTCCGATTCTGCCTCACCTCACATTTTATGAGCTACTTAGTTGTCTGCAACCCAACACAGGTTTCTATGTCTTGACTATTTCAGACTAGTGTATTTATGACAGCTTCTCCTCTACAGTCCTTCCCCACTGAAGAAATCCTTTCTTCAACAAATCCAAGGTGATTTACCTTCTTCGAAAACACATTCTGGTTTCTCAAAATCTAATATGATCAGACCTTTTCTTCCTGGAGTGCTCTGTTTCTCCATCCTTACTAAAGCCTGCATTGATATGAAATTGTCAAAACAGGACACCACTGTCCTACAGCGACACAGGTGACAAATGCTTCCTATGATTACCTGTGCAATATTTTGCATTTTTCATCCCAGGAAATCCTGTTAAGGTGTGAATTGAATTTCTTCTGAGTTCCATTTTGTATTTGAGGTTTGGCAGCTGGGGTACATAGCTGATGTTTAGGAGACATGAAGACCCTGAAGTTATAAACAAATGTTCTTTTAGATCTGTGTCCCTCTCCCCCACCCCCAGTTGCAGTTTTGTGTACTTGGGATCTAAAGCTTCCATTAGATTCTCAAAGAGATCTGTGACCCACAACATGGTAAATAATGATCCTGCATATCTAGGGACAGTTGTCTTAAACACTGATCACAGGTGTACTATAAGAGACCACTTATTCATCCCAGTTGCCCAGAACCAAAATAATCACACAGAAACTATATTAGTTAAAACACTGCTTGGCCCATTAGCTCTTGCTTATTATTGGCTAACTCTTACATATTAATTTAACCCATCTCTGTTAATCTATGTATCACCATGTGGCTGTGGCTTACCCAGTAAAGTACCGGCATCTGTCTCCGGCAGGCTACATGGCTTCTTTCTGACTCCATCTTTCTTTCTCCCAGCATTCAGTTTAAGCTTTCCCTGCCTAGCTCTGTTCCCCCATAGCTCTGCTATAGGCCCAAAGCAGTTCCTTTATTAACCAATGATATTCACAGCATACAGAGGGGAATACCACATCAGTACTGTGTGCTGGTATTCATCAGTATTGTGATTTGAACATAAAATGCTCTGTCTAGGCTCCTGTATCTAGACAGTCAATCCCAAGCATGTTTTGGAAGGAAGTGGTGCCGTCAGGAGGTGGAGCCTCCCTGGAAGTTTTATATTTGGGTTGCTTTTAATCTGAAGAGAACTCTTTGTCTTAATCTCTGCTACTATCTTGTGAGTTTGTCCTCCTCAGAAAACCTTTCCAAAGAAATGGTCATTGCTGATACTCTTGGGCAGTCCTGTGTGCTTGGTGCTTTGTGTTAACATTTGCTATGTATTTTTTACCTTGAGGTTCTAGGAATTTAACCTAGGGCTTCACAAAGGTTATGCAACTTCTCATCCTCAGCCTGGTGTACTTTAAATTTTTAATAATCAAAATCAGTAAAGAAGTGACTGGTTCCAGATTTCACTGTTCATAAGTGAGAAGTTGGGGTTCAGATACAATGTGCTGGTTAATTTTTGTCAGTTTGACACAAATTAGAGTTGCCTATGGAAAAAACACAGTTGAGGAATTAGCTCCATCATGTTGACCCGTGGGCACCCCGTGGGACATTTTCTAGATTAATGATTGATGTGGGAGGACCCTGCCCACTGTGGGTGAGGCCACCTATATAGTGCAAGTGGTCCAGCTTTATCTAGGAAAGCAAACTAGGCAAGCTATAGGGAGCAAGACAGTAAGCAGCACCCCTCCATGACTTCCGCTTCAGTGCCTGCCTCCAGGTTCCTGCCTTGAGCTCCTACTCTGACTTCCCTCAGTGACAAACTGTTACCTGGAAGTTGACATGAAACAAACCCTTTCCTCTCCAAGCTGGTTTTGGTCATGGTGTTTATCACATCAACAGAAAGCAAGCCAAAACACTAGGCTGTTTGATGTCCTGGTTTAACTCCTTATTTTAGGTACTGGTCTGTCTTCCTCTATCATCAATAATGGGTGTCCCTGCCATCATTGATCTCAGAATTTAAGCAAGTGTGGCATGGAATATTTGACCTGGGATTCACAGCCACACTCCAAAGCATTGAAATTGTGCAGTGTGTGGCTTATAAATGTTATGTTTTAAGCGCCAGTCTTACAGGTGACAGCGGGCACTGACCATAGCTCTAATCTCTTCCTCTGCCACCAGAGTGTCTCTATGTGTTCCCCTGCCAGTGGAACTACCGCCCTGATCACTGCATGTATGGAAGCAACTGCAAAGAGGCTGAGCGAGAAGGTGTGTCTGTTCTGCACGGCAACCGAGGTGTCTACCATGACGATAAGCAGCCCACTTTCCGAGCCCTCTATGAAGCAATCCGGGATGTAAGTGTGCTCGTCAAAGCGGACGCTTGCTTGCCAGCATTCGGTGCTTCAAGCGCTATGGTCCGTGGGGACTGTGAAGGCCAACCACTCCCAGGGGGAACTCCTGTGCCTTCTGTCATCCTATGGAGTCAGAGTTCAGGATAAAGAGAATGTAACAAAAGTGAGATTTTTTTTTTTATTTAGTTTAAGCTAAGTGTGTTGCCTGGTTACCAGCTCCAAGCTCTTAAGCAATCATGTCTCAAGCTGGCCAATTAGAAGTTGTCACACTGAAAGCAGCGATTGGTCCTTTATTTTTTTCTTCATTTGTGTATGTGTATGTACGTTTGTGCCTGTTGCATGTGTATGTATGGGTGAGTGTGCGTCTGAAGACCAGAGGTTGACACTAAATGCCTTCCTCGATCACTTTCTACCTTATTTTTTAAAATTATTTTTATTTTATGTCTATGGTGTTTTGACAGCATTCATGTATCACATGTGTGACTGATACCCTTGGAGGATAGAAGAGGGTTTTGGAACTCCTGGAACTGGAATAACAGAAGGTTGTGAGACACCATGTGGATGCTGGGAATTGAGTCCACATTCCCAGTGCCCTTAACTACTGAACCAGTTCTCCAGCCCCTCTAATTTTGAGACAGAACCCAAAGCTCACTGGCTTGCCTAGTAAACCCAGAGATCTCCAATCTGTATCTCCCCAGTCCTGAGATCACAGGTATACACCACCACACACAGAGTTTACGTAGGTGCTGGGGATCAAACTCATGTCTTTAAGCTTACATAGCAAACACTTTGCCTACTGAGCTATATCCCCAATCCACCAATCTCTTATTGACTTAACAATGCAATCAAAAAGAGATGCTTACCATTTTTAGCACCAAAGGAGATTTGCTAGGGGCATGTGGATACAACCTAGATGGAGGAATCTTGTCATAGCCAAGAGGCCCTGAGGAAAACACTCCTGCACCTCATGAACCGTGAGCCAGGAATGGAGAGCTGGAGGACAAGGTTAGGAACAGAAGGTTCTAAATCCAAGTAGAGGAAAGTGCCCCAGCCAAGGTACCCGAACAGGGAGGCCTTTAGAAGTGAACATCAGGCTAGGCAGTCAGAGCTGCATGTGAATCTGGCTGCCCAGTGCAGAAAGTCTGAGCCCTTGCCCATAGTGACTCCCTCTAGCAGGCTGACCCTGAAAGAACAGCCCCTCCCACCAGGTCGGCCAGGCAAGCCCTAGAGCCTTATGTGCTTGGTTGGTCTCAAAGATCACATTCAGTAGATAGAGCCCCTGCCCCATGGTTTCACTTTGCATGGTTTCAGTCACCCTGTGTGGCCATGACCCAAAAATATTACATGGAAAATTCCAGAATTCCATGCTTCATAAGTTGTACATTGTGTACTGTTCCCAGGAACATGACGAGATTGGATGCCGTCCTGCTCTGTCATGCAGGAATGTGAGTCATGTCTTTGTACCTGTAGCCACACTGTATATATTTCCCACCTCCTAGTCATGTCATAGCCACCGGGTATCCGGTCTGTAGGGCCTCGGTCTCATCATGGTTTCAGGGATCCACCCAGTATGTAGATATGTATTTCCCATGGATAAGTGATGATGTTATGTACAATGTTGGTGTGGAGGTAACGGAACCTCATACAGTTTGAGCCCACTCTGTCTTCCTTGAAGAGAAGGGTGAACACGTGTTAAGGAGCAGTTCAGGATTATGTGGACTTGGAAAGCTCCGTGTTGCTCATTACCTTTTGCCTTGAGATTGCCATTGCTAATAGGAAACCAATAGCAGGTACTTACAAGGGGTGCTCTCCTTAAACCGACCCTCGAAGACAGAGCAAGGATCAGTAAAATTTTCCAACATAACCGGATGATGTAGTAGGAGCTGCGGGCCGCTTCTTGCCACCCGGCTCCCTCCCGCCTGGCTAGCTTATGCCCCAAAATAATTACATGGAAACTGTATTCTTTTAAACACTGCTTGCCTTTAATCCCAGCACTAGGGAGGAAGAGGCAGACAGATCCCTGTGAGTTCAAGGTCAACCTAGGCTACAGAGTAAGTTCCAGGACAGCCAAAGATGTGCAGAGAAAAACAACAACAAAACAATTTTTAACATGATGACTCCATAGGAGCTTTGTGTTTCAGCATTCACAGAGTCGTGGGAGAACACAATACCTTTTTCATTCTTCTTCTACACTGGCATTCTGACAACAGAGGTTCTTAGTTATGACTGTAGGGTGCACAGTGCCGAAAGGATTTGCTGTCTACCCCCCACCCCGACAGGAACCATTTGCCAAGCCCCTGAGACAGACTTTATTAAATATCTTTATTTGTTCTTGAAAATTTGGGAACCTGGTGCCAGGATTTAGACATGCACATACGACAGCTATGTGCGGAGGTCAGAGAGTAACTCGGGCTGTTGTTCTTCACCTCTGCCTGGGCAGGCAGGGGCTCTTAGTGGTTTACTGCTTCATATGCCAGGCTAGCTGGTCCCTGAGATTCTGGGGAGTCTACCATCTGTGTCTCCCATTCTACCGTAAGAGCACAGGGATCATAGATACATGCTACCATGCCAAGCTTTCTGCGTGTTCAGGGGACCCAGACATAGGATGTCACACTTTGCAGAAAGCACTTTACCCACAGAATCATCTCCCTGCTGGCAATGCATCTGTGTGACTCACTGAGCCATCCCCCAGCTGGACCACATCTGTATCAAGATGAACAGTTTGCTAAAGAATTCCAGCTTGGGAAATCCCAGCACTGTCCTCCCCATAGGGGATCACTTGCCATGTATCTAAGCGAGTACCTCTTCTTCTGTTTCCTGCTGTTCAGTTTTCAAAGGGCAAGTGATTCAATGACACAATCTGTTATGCACTCAGTGACATTCTCACACTTGGTTACTCAAACACTGCCTCCAGGGGAAACCCATGCCCAGCACGGATAGAAGTCAAGGAAGCGTGCAACTGTGTGGGCTGATTGGAGCCCTCTCTACTTTCCCTTGTGTTCTGGCCCGGCTTTGGAATTGAGCAATTGTGGCTGAGTTATGACTCATCTGGTTTGTTCTCACAGGGGATAAGAAAGGCAGCCAAATGATTCTGCCTAATCACTCCGCGGAGTTCTGCAGTTTGGCCTCAAAAGACTGTTTTCATTCAGGCATTTCCATCAGGGCAGTCACTGGCTCCAGATCAGCACGGGAGTGAAGACACTCCATTGTGACGCGGTATTCCCCTATGCCTGCCTTTCTCTACAGGGCTGTGATGTTCTCAGCGTAAGATAAAGGATCAGAGCTGGCGCTCTGCCTGGGCAGACCTGGGCTCAAACCCCATTTCTATTACTCTCTGTTTAGTCATTAACTGCTGTTACCTTACTGAGCCTCGGGTGATTTCCTCATCATAAAATAAAGATAAGAAGGTTACCTTCTGGGGACTGGAGAAATGGCTCAGTGGTTAAGAGTGTTTGCTCTTCCACAAGACCCAAGTTCTGTGCCTAGCATTCATGTCAGCTGGCTCATGACCACCTGTAACTCCAGCTGCAGGGGGTTCAGTAACTTCATCTGGCCTCTGTGGACATGCGTGCGCGCGCACACACACACTTTTTTAAAGTATTAATAAATACTTTTATATAAATAAAGCTTCCTAATGAGACAGTTATGAAGAGTAAAAAAATGATGGCCTTTAAACTTTAATCACACACCTGACAGCTTCATTTAGTATATAGATGTTTCAATTGCAAACATTCCATATCTGTTTCTTTTCTTAGCTTGCTGTCTTCCTTCTCTCTCGTATACACACAGCCTAACCCTGTGTCTATGTGTTCATGTGATGGATGACAGGAATAACAGCTCCCATCACGGCCCTCCCAAAGGTCATCAGGCAGATATTCTTTAGCAATTCTTTCAGCAGTCATCTACAAAGCCTAGTTTATGTAGGAATAATTCCAGTTGTCCGGAATATGGAAGCTTGCATATACACCAAGCCCTGTCTGTGGTCAAGAATCTCTGTTCTAGTAGAGAAAACCAGATGACATAATAAATTCCCATCGCAATCAAAGAAAGAGCCTATCTAAGAAAAACAGGATGGTGAGGGCAGAGAACTGGCTACAGAGGGATGTTTCAGGTTTCCAGGGAAGGTCCCTACCAGCCTGAAACACGGTTGGATGGAGGCATTCCTAGGGAAGATGCTACAGACATAATCTGGAGACTCTCCAAGGTGGAATGAAGTTGCTGTGCCCGGAGCACGAGGATATTCACCTCAGCCATCTTGGAGAGCTAGTGGGGGGGGGGGGGAGCAGGTGCAGCAGGGCTTCAGCTCTCCTGGAGCTTTTGCGGCGAGAATTGGACTGCAGTGGGAAGTCTGGGCAGGAAAGTGACAGCCGTGATTTATGGTGACTTATGTCAACTACTTGCAGACTTGCGAGAGGGAGGCACGGGGCCATTTGTGAGGTTGAGAGCAGCCATACAGGCAAGAGCTGAGCTAGAGGGGACGTTTGGGGAAGTGGGAAGGTAGGGAGAAGGGGCTGTGCGGATAGAATTCATGGGACTTGTGATTGGCTGGCTAAGGGCTGTGAGAGAAAGTGATGCTGTCCCAAACCTGAGCTGGTGTGGCCCATTCTCGAGTTACCTCTTCACCTTGGTGATCCACGGCACTGAGACAACGTTTCTGATGACCTTGAAGGAGTGGGAGCTGTGTTCTAGGAGAGCCGACCTCTCTGCTCTGGGGCTAGGGGCCTGCCCTTTAACCTTTCTGTTCTTTAGGCTTTTCATTGGCAAAAGTTAAACTGTGACATGATCTACCGCGGCCCTTTCTCTTTCAACAGGATGGTGATAAAGCTTGACACATGCTAGTTTCTAAGTAGCCCAAAAGGTTGATTTTGGAAAATCATTCATATATCACATGAAAAAAATAAGAGATATTAAAACTAGACAAATCTTCAAATGTCCAATACACAGTGAATTTAAAAAACTCAAAATTATCACTGACATTTGGCCTTTTAGTTTCTTTTCCCCCCAGCTTCCATGCCTGACCCTGTCCTGTGGCTCAAACTCAGGACTTTGGAATCCTAAGCAGATGCTCCACCAGTGAGCCGTATCCCAACCTGGTGCCTAGAATAGCGAAAGAAAGCTCACGGCCAATACATTAACTTGCAGTGGTTGAACTCTTGACCTTCTGTAGCCGCCACAGACATGCCATTAAGTTTCTTGAATGGCAAAAAGACTATATATA